ACCTATGTACATTTACCACAGTGATCTAAAGAGATGCTTTGTATGTATTTATGGATAATGCAATGTTCAGAAGATTGAAATATGCATTTAAAGCAATGGCATTGACCTTTTAGTTCCTGCTAGATAACTTAAAGCAGTGTTTCCAGCCTTAGCCATTTCCAGATGCATGGACTTTCATTCCCAGAATTCTCATCAATTACCATATTGGCTGTGGAATTCTGGAAATGAAAGGTTGGGAAATATTGCCTTTTAGGGAGAAAAACAGAAACGAAGCTTTTGAATCTATATGCAAATGAACCGTTAATTTTATTGGACTAGTTATTATTTGGTTTGGTTTGGTTTTTTTGGTGGTGTTCATTTGAATTTTAGATATCTATTAACAAAGGATACTACTGACTGAGAATGCGTAACATTTTGAAATGTTGTGGCCAGGGGCAAACTAGAGCTTGTAGCAAGCAGCAAATGCTATTTAGAGAATAGATACTTTTCTTCCACTCTTCATGCGGCATTCTGCAAAAGATAAAAACTGTTTCAATATTACATGTGCACTCAAGCAAATATATAAATTCCAAGTATGCCAATAAACCCAGAGAACTTAGAGACCTTTACTAGGAAAAAATGACTAGATTTATTAGATAGAAATATATAGTAGATATAACAAATATAAAACTCATATAGTAAAAACTGATCTAATTATTCACTATTCAGCTACTTTCAATAGTAAAGCTAGAAGTGAAGGAAATATCTAGCAATACAATGTGTTTAGTGAAAAGATCCATTGCATTTTTCTAAATGAATAAAACTTTTCATTAACCTTAATTTTTTAGTTGGATTGCAATTTAATTTACAGCAGTTTTAACTTTTTGCAAAAATGTGAATGGGAAAAGAGAGGTAATGAAGTTCCATTGCATGAAAACTTAGTTTCCTGCACTTAGTTTGGCATTCATTTTTGTTCCGTTGGAGCTGGTGGTCACTGAGCCACTGCCACTAATGAAAGCTTTCCCTTTAATCTGCACCTTGAGACATTTCAATCTTTACAATGTATGTGTGGTTTGTAGAAATAAAAATTGAGTAATGAAAAGGCATAACAGTAGCAAAGTAATGGAACAGTAGAATAAGCAACGGAAAAAGACAAAAATGACGAACACAGGAATGTGAGAGTAAAAGATGGGTGGGAAGGGAAGCAGAGACTGGAGGGGGAAGGTTTTTTTTGCTATCAGTCTAGTAGAAGCCAGTGTGGTATCCCATTATTGGATCTTCAGGCCAACTATCAAAGCCAGGTCTTCAGGTTCTAATGGAAAATAGGAGGATGGAGGTAAGTATGAGTAAGATTTTGAGTAAGATTTTCCAAAGGACAGGTGCTATGGATACTGATAGATACATATAATAGATAGATATAACCTGCAACATTAGTTTATTAGTCTCATCTATGTTGCTTAAAGTTTTTTTTTGTGTGTGTACATTCTTAAATTAGCTTTCGGAAGTTGTATCATAATTCCCCATAGTATTTAGGGAAAACAGTACAAAAGATTGATCAGATTAGATTGTGATCTATAGTAGATACTCTAGTCCAGGCATGTCAAACCCTTTGGTTTGCCTGGGCCACATTGAGTAAAGAGGAATTGTCTTGGGTTAATCTATATATATATACTGTATATAAACGTGAAATACCACTCATGCATCATCACGAAATCTCCAGAACCATAAAGCCTACAAACTTGAAATTTGGCACATATGTTCCTCTTGGCTTCTAGGTGCTCGCTAAGAAAGGATTTTTCAAAATGACCATCAGAGCATTAATATTTCATATATTATTATTAACATGCTCTGATGTTAAGGAGCTCTACTCCCCCTCCTCACCCGAAAAGAAATCTGTTCCAACTGCAGTTGAGCTAAGCCACACTCAGGCTCCTTGCTGTCTCCTTCTTGCTCACACAGCAAATACTGCTTCAGTTTCCAAACAGCCCTCAACTGTCTCACACACTGACAGGATGCTAGCCAGATGAATACCGATGGATGCTGGTAGGCAGAGGCTCAATTTTCCCCCCTTATTTTCCTCCCCAAAAACTTACCCGATCACATAGTTTCGTAGAGAAGCTCTTGTGAGGCTGTATTGCTAGCTGTCCAGGGATACATAGGCCCCGTGAGCCATGGACTGGACACACCTGCTCCATTCCATTCCATTTAATTATCCAATACTGACATGAAGGAGAGCCAGTCTGGTATAGTGGCTTAAGGTATCATGCTAGAAACCAGGAACTTTGAGTTCTAGGCCTTCCTTACATAATAAGTCATTTGGACCAATTCCTTTTTCCTAGGAAAAAGCAATGGCAAACTACTTCTGAAAAAAATCTTGCCGAGAAAGCAACTGTCCAGGCAGTTGTCAACATTATAGAGAAATTTATACAACTGCTTTGCTGTATGGTTATACATATATGTTTAAGAAATTTATATGGCCGCCTCATTTTAAGAAATAAACCCCAATGAGCTGCAGCTGTGGTACATGCTGGCGGCAGAGGTGGAAATTGATCTGACCCAAAACAGACGCGGGGGGGGGGGGGGTTTGGTTGGAGCAAATCCTCCCCCACCAGCCCCCGAGACGACTTAAAACCTCAAAAGGGAGGAATGGCGGCAAAACCCAAGACCACTGCTTGCTTCTGATGTGGGAAGGAAGGTCACCGGGCTGCAGATTGCCATGCCAAGCTAGAACCAAAGGGGGCGCCAGGAGGAGGAAGAAAACCTGAAAAAACCCCAGCAAAGCCTCGCCAAACGGTGCTTAAAGCAGAGGAGGTTGTAGAGATTGCCCCTCCGAAAGGGAGAACTATCCAAAAGTCTATCCAAAGTGGAAAACAACTGGGATGATAATGGGAGATTCAAGAGAATAATTACTATGACATCAGGGATGTCACATTGGCGATCTGTGGCCCAGTACGTCATGCACAGACCAGGCCCATCCCAGCTCTGTGAATGGGAAAAACATCGTGAAGCATCACGTGATGCTGTTAATTTGACATCCATGATCGAGACTGAACTATAGGGATCCTGCCAATTGAAACTACAGATAAGAATCTCAAAAAATTGTGGACAACCTCTGTTAACTTCCTGCTCAAGACCTGCCTGCCAAAGTTCATCTGGGGCTCATTAATTTCCACAGAACATAGTCTATTCAGAAGAAATCCCTGACTGCTGAATCCATTCACATGGACTTAAGACTGAAGAAGATCTTCAGGGTTTGGAAGCTAGGTTGCAGGTTCAGAAGAAAAACAGTAGCACATCTCCTGAATATCCAATAGAAGCTTAGTCAAATGTGCTTCCCTGCTACCAAGGCCTTTTCATTATTTTTTCTTTTTCTCCTTTAAAAATGTTCACCTAAAAGGCCATGAAGGGAATTGTGCCTCTTTTGTAGCATAATAACTAGGTCTTTCTAGGTCTTTCTCTAGTAAAACAGACTCAATTCACTTTGGATGTTTGGATAAAATTATTTTTACTTTTTTAAAAATGGGAAAAATACATCAACATAGTTCTTTATTGTGTTTTGTATCTTACTTGGCAAAACAATTCTGTAATTTGCAGATTCCATGAAAATTCTTGAACAATGATTCAAGATTGAAATGAGCAAATGAATCACTGAGCAAGCACATCCTTTCATACTAAAGCTTTTCTTCTAAGCCTCTGTTTGGAGGCAGGACCAATGGCTTTCTGTGCAATAGTAGCTGTCTTTTTTTAGTTTTCCAGAGAACTTCTGTCAGGGGCGTTTTTAAAAGACAATGTCTTTGTAGAAGCAGCCATTCTTTACCTACAAGGTGCTTCAGAACCAAGAAACTCGCAAGTTGCTATATTTGGAGAAGATAATTATAGCAGTCAGAAATGGGGAGGAGAAGGCTTCAGCTGGCTTATTAACAGTGAATGGCAAGGGTACTAGCTGTTTGAGATGCTGAATACAGGTAGTCTTTGACTAACAACAGTTCATTTTGGGCCCATTCAAAATTACAATGGCACTGGAAAAAAAAAAGATCTGATCTTGGTAACTGACTCATTTATGGTGGTTGCAGTTATGTCATCACTTTTTGCAACTTTCTTACAAGCAAAGTCAATGGGGAAGCCAGATTCGCTTAACAATTGTGTTACTAACTTAACAAATGCAATGATTCACTTAACAAGAAAGGTTGTAAAAAGGTCTGGCAAAATTCATTTAACAAATGTTTTGCTTAGCAACAGAAATGTTGGCCTCAATTATGGTCATAAATCAAGGACTACCTGTATTAGGATTGCTTTTCATCCTTAAAAAAAGGTATAGGAATTAATACAGGAACATGACACCATGCCCATTGTACCAAGTAATATTTCTGTATAAGGCTTATTCCTATTAAAAAAAGTTCCACAAATGTATATGTCCATGAATGTAATACAGGTAGTGTCGGGCTCCACTTATGACCACAACCGAGTCCAAAATTTATGTTGTTGAATGAGAAATTTAAGTGAGCTTTGCCTCATTTTACGAGTTTTGTTGCCACATTTGTTAAGTGAATCACTGCAGTTGTTAAATTAGTAACCCAGTTGTTAAGTGAATCTGGTTTCCCCATTGACTTTGCTTGTCAGAAGGTCGCAAAAGGGGATCACAGGACTCCCCCAGACACTGCAACCATCATAAATGTGAATCAGTTGTCAAGCATCTGAATGTAAATCACGTGACCATGGGGATGCTACATTGGTCGTAAGTGTGAAAAGTGGTTATAAGTCGCTTTTTCACTGCTGTTATAACTTTGAACAGTCTCTAAATGAACTGTTGTATGGCGAGGATTACCTGTATATGATTTAAGCTCATGTACCTCAGTTAAATTATTGGAAAAGAAGTACCTAAATGCACTTAGTTTTCCTTCATTGTAAAAAAATTAAACAAACTTGAAATGGTCTTCTCAGTGTTTTGAACTAGAAGATGAATGAGTAGGAAATCCTGGACCTTAAATCCTGCCTAATACCCATTTTGCTTGTTTTTGTAGGTGTGGTTACAAAAATACGGCTATCTTCCATCCGCTGACACCAGAATGTCAGTGTTGCGCACTGCAGAAACAATGAAATCTGCTATAGCTGCCATGCAGCAGTTCTATGGCATTAACATGACAGGAAAAGTGGACAGGAACACAATCGAGTAAGTAAATTTTATTGCTATGCTCTTCCTTTTTGGAATTCCTGAAATATATGTGGAAAATTAGAAGCCTTGCGGTGGCTGGCTATCTAAATCCTATCTCGGCAGTTCTGAACAGCCTAGGACTTAGAATATTCTTTTCTTTTCATCATGTCAGGCAGGAGGTGGGGTGGGGAGAAGCAGTGTAAGGCTCAATTAAAGCCTCAATAAAAGCCAATTTCTACAAGAAAGGTGAAAAAAGAAGTATGAAAAATGGATTTGAACAGTCATGACATTTTTATCCTGATATGAGTGTTAAATCAAAATTCACAAAAGAAGCTGAACAGGAAGATAATAATCAGATGTCCTTTTGTGGCTCAGGACAAAGTTAAGACATGTTTGAGGCCAGCCAGATCATGATGAAGAATGTGAAGAGTATAATTATCAAGCTATGTATAGACTTTAAATGAATCAGGATAAACCCTAATTCCAAACTCAGTAAATTATCTCTTTTCTGGTACCTATCAGTACCTGTTGACCCAGTTGTCTCTGGCTTTCTCCCCATCTCCTCCCATCCCCAATTGTCTCACAAATAGCCTTTCCCATTCTAGTAACCCATCATGCATAGCTGCTAAGGCCACTAGATTACATCTGTTTTAGAGACATTCAGAAGCAGCAGTAGAATTGGGGATCATATATAAGGCAACTGTACCACCTAGAGTCATTGACTGAGATGGGACACTTTTGAAATTAAATTAATAAATGAATGAATAAACTGCCGAAATAGTTTATATAGGGGACCGGGAAAGCGTTATTGGAAAACATCTAGCTATTATTCTATTCCCACCATCCAGTCAGAGCTGAAGAAGCTTCTTGGATGAGAAGTGAAAGAAAAACCAGAAAGTCCAGTTGCCTCTTGAAAAAGCACCTTTGAGACAACCATGACCTGGATGATTGAGAATCTCCATAGACATCTAGCTATTACATTGAAACAGTGCAAAATCTACTTGATATTGTGTATGATGACTGTATGTAATTCCACAGCCCCCATTTCCCTATAAGAAAAATAAAGAAGCTTAAAAGAGGTTCCCCAGCTCCCCACTTGACACAGATGGCACCCACATTAGGTCAGTGGTTGTGAGGGCCAACCAAATCCACAAAAAATATGCAGAAATTCTTTTCCAAGTAGTCCCAAACAGTCTGCTCTTCAACCCAGACTTTTGCTTCATTCCATTCAGTCTGTTATTCTATCTTTTTAAAAATCTTTGTTCTTCCTTTTCTTGATTTTATTACAATTTCTTGGTTTTGATTGTGGTGAGTGATCCAGAGTCATTAGGAGTTAAGTGGCATACAAGTTTAATAATAATAACAACGAGGCAAGTGTCTCTCATTTCTGATTCTATCTTATGATTTATTTATTTTTATTTCTCTGATTTGTTTCTCTATCTTTTTAGTTTCCCAATTGTCAGAATTTTGTTGTATGTTTCTAGGCATGTTGCTGTTTTCTCTGTTATTTAAAAGTGTGTTGAGCAATGATGTCACATAAATAAATATAAATAATAGACTAAATTCATTAAAGTATAAACGTATGAACAATGGGCATTGGAATAATGCAACATTTGGAATCCAGATGCATTGGATTTGGTGGGATCATTTTTAAGACACACATAAGGGTAGGTATGTTATAGAATTATGCAAAGTATTTGGAAAGAATGCTTGTAAAGCACATTAGAATGAAAAGTTAAAATATCTGTATTCTTTGGAAAGCATACAAGGCAGCCTTAAATGTTGCCTCTGGCTGTTGTGAGGACATGCACAATTCATTTGTTGGTAGTCCCAGTGGTATTGTTATCTATGTCTCTGTCCCCAGGCCCAGGGTGAAGTGGTTTGCATAACTCTTAGTGATATTTTGGGATGTTATTAATGTATCTCTGAGTATTCATGTTTTTCTTTTCATATTATGTATTTCTTTAAAATTATAAGTTGTCCATAATTTTTTGGAGTAAAGCAGCTTTAAAATCTAATAAATACACAAATGTTCAAGCAACCAGGTGCACTCTTGCAAGCAGCTGTATTAACTTTTCAGAGGATGCAGCTGCTTTAATACTTGAAAGAGAGTGTTTTGCTTTTGCTAGTATTCTTTGCAAATAATCACTTTTGCATGCTTTGTTCAACTTTGATGTCAAGTATCAAAACTGGTATTGATTTTGCATATTGCATCTTATAGAAGGAAAAGATAATTAATCTTTTTTTCAATCTAATTTTAATTCATTTTTCCTTGATATTAAATCACAAGAACAAAATATAGCACCAGATCATCAGATGATCTCATCTGCTATTTGTTTTGTTTTATATGAATGCTGGAAATCCCTTTCTGCATTAATTTTTAAAACATTTTTATGAGGCTGAAATGGTGAATACTTCAGAATGACATTTCTATATTTTTCCACACAGTTTGAATACAGTACTTTGACTCAAAGATCAATGCTATCTTTCTGAGCACATTTATATCTTCCTTTGTTGTCAGCTTCCGGTAGCTGATTTTCTGTTGGTGAAAAAGATAGCTTCTTCCCAAATGCCACTAATTTAGCATTTAAAATCTTCTAACACTGAAAATTGCCTTCTTCTGTCAAACGCTTATTTGTATTAGCCTAGCTATTTTAGCTATTAAATCATGAAATACCTTAGAGGACAGGTGATACTTGGGTATAGATTATTTAAGTTCAAGAACCCCTACCTAATTTCTTTCCATCAAAGACCTGTTTCTCAAAGTTGATAGGAAGGCACCAAAGTAGAGAAAGCTGATACTACCAATCCAGACATTTCCCCATTTTTTTCTAATTCTCTAGCATAAATCCTCATGAAATGCATGGTTACATCAACTTGAAGTACTTTCTTTCAAAAAAAAAAATGGCTTGAATGCTTCAAACAAAACAAGAAGCCCCTACATAGAGTTCTACAAAGTAGGGAAAATATTAAATCTTCCAGATTATAATATTCTGCTCCACATATTAGTGTGTGATTGAAATAGAATGTGAAGTACTTATTTCTTAAATAATGTGATATCAATATACATTTTTCTACATAGAAATTGACCTGCTATTTTAATATATATTTGAGTGTTTAAAACATGATAGTTGAAATTAAAGATTGTGAATCATGATTATTGAGATATAAACACAAATGATATTGCCAAGCAGTTTTAGTGGACTACTTGTGTATCTGCTCCAGAATTTATGCCAGATGGCATAAATGGGATTTTCACATTCACTTCAGTGGAGATGTTTTGGTATACATAAAGTGAAGTGTATATAAAAGCCGACCTATCTCCTAAAATGAATGGGGAAGCTCTCCTATTTGGAAAAATAAAATCCAGATGCCTTGCATACATGGGATATTTACAGATATGTTCCTCGGAACATATCCTGCCTTCCTTTTATGTGCTCAAAATAGGTCATATGGGGATCTGTCCTTATTTTATCCCTACAAATGCAAATCTGTAAATCTAAGCAGGGTGACTGGTCCCAGTGCCCAGTGAGTTTATATGTCTAATATTGGACTTGAACTTATGTACCTGATATAAGCAGGTGTCTAGACACAGTTTGTGAATGGCTAGAGATAAATGCAATGTAATTTAATTCTGGAAGTGTTGTGGACAAAAAAAGCTAGTAGATCTGTACACACATTTTCAGCTTGTCTTGAAATGTGGGCTTGTTCGGTGAAAAGATTATGATTTGCTGGTCTATTTTAACTTTGAGCTATGCTTGAAAACGTGATGTAGTAATTTGCAAAACTAGAGGCCTCAATTGCTATCTACTATCTTATCGAAATATTATTTCAGTTACTCATTTATGTTCTGGTTATTAGCCTACAACAATGAAATTTATGTTGAAGACATATTGGAAGCTGAAGTGACTGCACTATATAACAACATAGGGTAGATGTTGATGTAGCCAAATGAGTCAGGCAACATTACAGTGATATTATGGAAGCTGTTTACTTTAACTTTGAGCTATGCTTGAAAGACATTGAAGAAGAGTATTGATATAGTTATAGAAACTTTGGGTTTAACTAAAAGGCTTGAAGTTCTATGCCCTAGTTGGTAAGTTAGTAATAGAAATATTGCCTGTAACACAGCTCAAGCTGGTAATTATCAGAAATATCACTTTAATGTTAATACATTTTTTCATGAACTATATCATCTGAAAAGTTTCTGTGGAAATATGTGTTTTTTGAAAATAATGTGGGAATATTCTCTAAGGAGCTTAACTTAATATGCTCAAGGTCTAACCATTTGATTGCCTTCCAGACTTGTGATGTGAATATACAGAAACTTGGCATGGATCAGCAGTGTCAAATATGTATAATCAATTTGAAGGACGTTCCTCTAAGATGAAACTTGATATATGGCTCTTATTTCATATAAAAGGAATCAATAATGTTATGCACTTTACCACAATTACCAATAAAGTTAGAAACTAGAAAGCAGAATGAATTGGAAAAACCAGGAAAATCTATGCATAAACAAATCCTCTTTGGGTGTCCTGACACGTTCCACTGCTAATCTAATCCTAATTGTTATGGCTTTAATCGTTTTAGTTGTTCCCAGTACTTCAGAATAATAGTTTTTTCCTGCTTAATGGCTTTTGCACACAGATTTGGGGGTAAAGAAAAATATGTAAATCACAATATTCTTGCAAAAAAAAAAAAACCCATCCCTAAGTTGGATGAAACAGTATTAGCAGGCTGTGTAAGAAAAAATGTTTTGGAAAAAAATTAAGTATTCAGTTTTAATCTGTTGTTACACAGACATAACAGAAAGAGATGTTCATCAGTTAGAAAATGCCTTTACCTTCTGTGTCTAGAGAGTGGAATTCAATATCGAAGAGCCTATTTTATTTTCTAGGATTGTTAATGAAGATTCTTTGTCATCCAGGTCATAGTTGTATCAAAAGTACAATTTTAATTTTTTGAAAATGGAACTAGGGTGATTTTTGAGGAAGAAAAGGTGTTTTGCTTCCTAT